CTTGAAATCCAATCCTTAAAATTGTCATTTCCTTCTCCTATTTAGAGTACTCTTAAATATCTCATGAGTTTTATAATATCAAAACCTGCTCAATAGTTCACTTAGTTCTTCTAATTAACACAAAAGATTCACAGGGACCACCACATCAGTCATCAGTGTGATTAGTGCTGTTTCCAATGGTAATGAACTACACACACCCGCCCCAGGTCCAAGGTGCGGGGCTTCACGACTGCTCAGGAAACACCAGCAGGGTTATATCCTCCTGACACAGAGGGGAGAGGTCCAGGGAACGGGGGCGGTGCCCCAAGCCTGTCTGAACTCAGGCTGTGCTGGCACCAACCCCAGCTCTGCGGATGAACCCCATGACCTCGGAGCAAGTTTCTTATTGTCTCTCAGTCTCAGTTTCCTCATCCATCAAATGGCCAGAATGCAACCCCTCAACCAGAGGGTCACTGCAATATTCAAAGGCAATGACAGTGAACTGCCAAGCCATGCCTGGAGCTCTGTAAATGTTTTGGTGACAACTGAATACTTGTGCTTACAAGTTAAATGGAAGCAAGTCTTTCCTGATGCATCTAACTCTTTCCCTCCACAGCAGGTCAAAGCTGGTTTTATTTGATCCTCCCTTTCATGCCTGTACGATGCCCTACAGGATAACACTAGAGACACTCACAAAACTTCCCTGGTTCACCACCAGCCTGGAAACAGAGGTTTATATCAAAGCCCACGGGGCCATCAGGCACTCAGCTCCTACATTAGCTTTGTTCTGTCTTGAGCTACATTTTTCTTGCCAGAGAGGTTTGCCTGGTGAGAGTGGAGATCGTTCACACCAGCTCTGTAGTACAGAAGCTCGTGACTCTATTCTGTGATTCTCCCAGGAAGACAACTGAAAGCACACACAAGGCTGAAGTCTCTACTTGTACGACACTGACACTTGGGGCGGAGGTGGGAGGAAGGATGCTAAATGAACATCAAACTCGATTGGCCTATCCCTCCTTCCTCCTCCCAGACAGCCACCGACACCCTGCCCTGTCGTGATAAGCTCCTCGCTAGTTAGCCAGCACTTGGCAGGTGAGCACCAACATTCATGCCCCCAGATTTAATGACTGCCGTTCACACTGCTACTAAAGGTATGTTAATATTATAATTTGATGGCCCTGGCTCCTTTATCCAAACACTAAGTTTATTCTAGTGACAAGCCTTAATTTTCTGACATTTTTTAAAAGGAAAAATTTTAATTCTGTTGAGTAGAAAAAGTTACTGCCTGGAATAAGTATTTTTAATTGACTGTATTGAGGTGACATTGGTTAAGAAAAATATATAATTCTCAAGTATGTGATTCTATAATACATCATCTGTATATTGTACTGTGTGTTCCCCACCCGAATCAAGTCTCCTCCCAGTACCATTTACCCCTTTTAACCCTCTTTCTCCCTTCCCCAGCCCCTCCCTCTTGTAACCACATGCACATAAACACACACACACCTCACAGGCACAGATAGCAGTATTTTCAAACATTTTTGAGACTTGCGTCCAGTGTTAGGAGAAGCCTCGCTGCATCTACAGAACCTATGTCTAGATATCAACCCCACTCTGTTACTAAGCTTCAACTTTTAATTATATCATCGAAACTACGCTGCTAAGCTGTTTCCATCTCCATCCTGTAGATAATGTGTTTGCATTTTTTCTTTAATTAAAAAAAAATCTTTAAGATTCAATCTGACTAATAATATATAATTCTGAATACAGCTTTCTATCCCAACTGGATACTTAGGTCTAAACCCCAGGAGGAAGGGGTGAGGGGGATGAAAAGAATGATAATGAATCCAACGCCCCAGAGACAGCAGCATAGAAGACTTCTGTGCTCTGGCCAAACACCGAGTTGGTGGGAGGAGCCTAAAAAGATGGGCTTGGCACCATTCGCTTCTCACTACAGACCAATGACAAGGACTGTGACGTCTTTCTGAGTTACTTGGGTGTGTAATTTATAGCTTCCTCTATATGTGTTCACGGCTACTGTTGGAATGCCCACCACAACCCGTAGTGACTATGGCTAAAGCCTTTGAAAGGAAAAGGAACTTTTTTTCTGTGAGTTGGTTGCTGGTACGTGATGTCCTGCTGCGAACCCCGGAGACCGCAGGTCCCTGACGAAGGTAGATCCGCGGAGAGAGATGTCAGCCTGGTTCAGCCCTTTTACGGATTCACGCCCAGCCCGTCTGCAGGCAAACTAAGTAAGCAGCCTGGTATTTCTGGCCACTTTGCAAGCTAGTGCTCCACCGGCCGCCGTTCACCTCCCGCTCCTGTCTCCCGCCCCGGCCTGATTCACCACACACCACCTTCTCTAGACTAAATCCATCGTCCTCCCAACCATAAAAGAAACACCTCTCTGTCTGCTGAGTCCCTGGCACCCTCACGGGGCAGCTGCAGGCTCTCAAACCCCAGGTGCAGAAGTGAGTGGGTGCTTGCAAGCAGGTGGCCCACAGAGTCATCTATTTCCACAGGAAAAACAAATTCCGATGCAAACTGGACAGTTTGTGCAGGTAACATCTGTTAGGTAGTTCTCCTTTATCTGTGTGGCTGACCTTTAAAAACCGTGATCTGGATGCTTAGCATCACGCTGCTCAGACGCAGCACCGTGTGGTCCAGTAAGGGGGCCACGGGGCTGAAGACGTGGCCCGTCCAGACCGGGCTGCGCCCCGAGTGAAAATGCACGCTCAGTGTCACACACCGAATAAAAAAAAGGGAGACACGGAATGCAGAATATTAGGTTAATAATTTTACATGGATAGCATGTTGGCATGAAAATATTTGGGATATACTGAGTTAAATAACCTACGCTATTCTAATTAACTTACCTGCTTCATTCTCCCTTTTTAAACATGACTCCCTAGAAAACTGTACACCACTCCTGGCTCTCACGACCTCTCTGTTGGGAGGTACTGCTCTGGCGCACAGGCTGGCTTCACGCTCAGCGCTGCCACCTGCAAGCTGTGTGCCCCCAGCAGGGCCATCGTGGCCTCTCCTGTGAAATGAGAACAACGCCAGTCCCTGTTTTTTCCGACCCTCACACCGGCAACACAGTGGATGGGGGGGTGCTCCTTGGAACGGGGCCTGGCCTGGACCGGGCAGCACTCCTCTGCCCAGGCAACTCCCAAAGGGACACTCAGTGGAGGGACACACTGCCAGAAGCCTCGGAGCAGGAGAGGGGGACGAGGGGTGCCCTGGGGCGTCCCTAAGAATGGCTCCGTATAGGGAGTGTACAGTTCCCCATCCCCAGGAAGTTAGTAGACAAAAAACGAGGCCGCTTATCTTTGCTCTGGACAGAATGCATGGGAGAATGCAGACAGGAATCACCCGCTCTATCCTCCAATATATCTGGTAGCTGGATATTAAAAAATGGTTGAAACAAGACACGTGAAAGGCCTCATGAAGTACGGACAATCCTTCCAAAGAGGCGGGAACCCCGAGGGTCGGGTAAGCGGAGTTATAACGCAGGAGAATGAGAGTAAGTCGTGTACGAAGCAGGGTGGCTTTCAGGACACATCCAGGCCGACCTAGTTGGAGAGAAGTTTCCTGTAGGAAGACACAGGAGGCAAAACTAACGACAGTTAGGAGGCAGACCATGGAAATGGAATGCGGCTCCATGCCGGGTCCCAGGGAGGAGGGAGGGGTAGCTGCACAGAGCGAGGAGATCAGCTGCCCTGGGCATGATACACCCTTTGCAGCGCCGGCCTCCTGACTTTCACCCTCTATTCCCGCAGGATACCTTTCCAGCCGTGTTCATAACTGGCCTTTCAATTCATGGGAAGGCCCTCGGGATAAAGCTCTGCTTCAGAATATCACACACGAATAATAATCAGAAAAATAATTTACTAATTACCATTTACGGTTGAGGAAGAGGAGCTAAGAGATCTTCCATAGAAAGCCTTGGTCACGTGTGTCTAAGTGGTTATCAGATGCTTCTAAAATCGCTGTGTCCAAATACAGCGAAGGCATCAGGGAGCAGAGTGGGATGGCTGTGCACTTACTGACTTGGAGCCTGAAGACAGAGAGAGCTGTTGCTTCTGAGTGCTCATAAGGGAGGTGTGACTGAATGAAGCTGGGCCGCTCGTGCTAACTGTTCACTGTAGGGGACCGGTTTGTCTTGGCCTGGCAAATGTGACTCAGCTCTGTATGGAAAACCTGCAGAAGCGAAGTGGTGGGCAGGAGCCAGACCTTCAAACCGAGTTTTCCGTGGGAATCAGGACTAGAAAATGCATACAGATTGTTATGGTTTACTCTTGCTAAAACTCCCTCATCCTGCTCTAAAGCAACAAATGTGTATTGTCTATCTTCAAGGTAACTTCCAAAGCCTGTGTGAGCTCTCCCAAGGACAGAGCTAGTCAGCTCATCACCATCCCCCCTCTGCATGTTATTTTCATTTCCTTGATTGTACCTAGGATGTAGACAGTAATATTCTATGTGATAGATAATAAATCTTTCTTTGATGTAAGACCCCAGGAAAACAATAAAAGCCTGTCTAGGCAAGGGTTGGGGCGCTCCCCTCTTGAGGGAGTGGCCAAGGCACCATAGGCACTCTCCCCTTGAAAGAGTAGTCGTGCCTGTCCCCTTTTTCCACACAGGACTGTTGTCACCTGTGCATTGATTCTCGTCATCAGCCACAGCAGGTGGACTCTGCTGGACAGGGTCCGCCACAGTTCACTCACTTTCTTTTTAATGTTAAAGAACAGAAACACAAAGGGGAGGGGGAGGGAGGATACATGGTGATGGACTTGACTTGGGGCGGTGAACACACCATGCAGTGTACAGATGGATGTGTTGTGGAATCGTGCACCCGAAACCCGTCCGCTTCGGTCAACCAGTGGCCTCCCAACCAATCCAATACAAGGAAGCAAAACTTGACTTATCACAAAGATGCTTTGCTTAAAATGCTCCGAAGCTGCCTTCTCTGCACCCTGTAACAGGGACCATGTTCTGTGTGCTGCCGTTGCTTTCCACAGACTCAGATTAGTCCCAAGGAAGGATGGCAAGTTTACAGCTCCGCACAGGATCCCGATGGGCGGTGCATCTGTACGGTGGTCGCTCCAGAGCAGAACCTGTGCTCCCGGGATGCCAAAAGCAGGCAGCTCCGCCAGCTGCTCGAAAAGGTAGGTGTCCCGGGTGTCCCCTGGGCACACTTTTGTTGCAGTCCACCACGGGAAGTGGGGGAAGGCAGGGTGGGGATCAGGGTCCTCCCAACAGGTGCTCTTCTCAAATAAATACCCCCCGTGCTGTGTTCTATTTATGTGACTTTTTACTTTTCCCAACCTCGTTTTCTCAGAGCTGGCGCACTATCATCTATCTTGATATCCAGTGACTGTCTTCTTGAGAAAAGAGAAAAAAGCAGGAAGTCTTATTCTGATGCCAGGAATCGAGCGTCAGGTCTCGGGCTCACATCCCAGCTCTTTGAGTTCAGATTTGGGTTCCCATTATCAAGCTCACAAGGAGGTTAAAATAATGGCCCGTGCTGTGCAAGCTCTCAGGACAGATCATGAATAATTCCAAGTATTTATCATCATTCTCTAAGTCATGCCTTAGAACATTAAGCTCTTCAATTTCATTCAATAGCATTCTCTCTCTGTATAATTTACTTAAGCCAGGTCCCTAACCATCAAATGCAGAATGCCCCTGATTTATTCTCTTTTCCAGATAAAAGTCGGCTCATGAAAAGTTATTGATGTCTAGTGTGGGGAGAACAAAACAAAACAAAGCAATACATGCTTTCTTTCGATGAGTCTTACTCAGCCCTCTACTGTGTGGTGCTCTGAATAACCGTAGGCCAGCCGGGGTGGACAGACTCACGGGAGGATGATAGCATCTCAGAGTTTGCAACACCATCAGGGATAATAAGATAAATCAGGTAGCTTTTAGGGGATGTCATGATCCGCAATTCACCCTCTGCCCTCTCTCCTTTCCGTGACCATCCACGCAGTGATGGCAACGGGTGGGAACTTTTTATAGAAAAGAAAGAGAAGCTAGAGGGAAGACATCAAATCCACTGTGACTACAGACACTCCTAGTTTCCATAGTCTCGAGCCAGACAGTGGCCTCCTCCCACGAACCTGTGTGAAAATTGGGTCCCTCTGTGGGTATGATCGGAAGTCTACTGACGCCTTAGATGTTAAAGCTTGTTTTTCATGATTTTATAGAAAGATTAGTCTGCTTTTCCTCCTCCCCCCCTCAGAGCTACCATCATATATTGATTCTATCTTAAGTTTCTTTTTATAATAAGATCCTACTGTTCCTGCCCCTTCAGTATCTGTGCTCCAGACAAGAGTGAATGTCGTTTCATTCCAATTGATGACCTTAGTGAATGTGCCTCTCAACTGTTAAAAACCATGACACAAGCTATGATTCATCTTGGGTATTGTCTTTAACCTTATTTAGAGACAGATTTTTTCCATCCCGTAAAGTCACAAAGTCAAGTCACAAAGTAAAGCTTTGTGACTTTACATGATTGACATAAAGTAGGAATGTTTATCCCAATATGAAAAAAACTCAAATATATATGAAAGACACATGAAGACAATATAAAAAAAAGCTCAAATATGTAGTTTAAGACTAGTTACTAGGGAAATTAATTATATAAATAAAAAATATTTACTCCCTTAATTCAATTTTTCTTTTAGATTAAAATGTATTTCTCCCTCAGATTACTGATTTCTCAGCTCCAATCTTCTTTTACGTCTCTACTGGAAAGTATTTTGAAAACATTACATTTATCCAAGAGGCCGTTACTGTGCTTTTAATACTGTCTCGGTAATTTTGCACCGCACTAGAGATTTTTTTTGAATGATGCTTTCTCAATGTAGGAATGACGCTAAATTAATATAGATTTGGGAGTCAGGTAATGCGTGACCTAACTACGGGAAGGAGGAGGAAACTTTCCTTAAAGTTTTAAAATGCTAATTCCACACTAGCTACCATTGGAAACCTAAGTTAATTTTACCCAATAGGTATTTACTGAGCAATTATTCTGTGCCTGGTTCTGTGAAAGGCCTTAGAGATAAAAGATCTGAGGAGGACACAGCTGCTGATCTCATGGAGCTCAGGGGACGGCAGCCCCTTTTCTGCCCTCACCCACTTTTCTGTCCCCACCCAACACGCTCATTATACAGTTACTCTTAATACAAGTGAGACTGTAGTTCCTGTGTCCGGATGAGATGGGACAGAACTACGGACCACCAGAGCTGAAACAGAAATGGGGAAACCTGACCTTCTCTAAGAAGAGGGGCAGAGGAACTGCGGTCAGCCACAGCAGGAGAGTCCAGAGCTCTTCTGCTTCGTCAGAAAAATTGTCAATCATGCAGAGTCACAAGGTGGGCGGGCCTAGGCTTTGTGGCTTTACTGGATGATGGAAATCTGTCTCTGAACAAATGATTCCTTCTTTATTTGTAAGTCACAATTTTTGCAATGAAAGTGACTTTATACTCATGATAGATGCTTAGATATAATATACATACATACTATTTATTATATACACATAATGCTTATATGTGTATATAATAAATATGATATACATATGTATTAAAAATAAATGGAGTAACTAAAAAGTGTATGAAACAAAGTAAAAATCTCCTGAAATCCCGCTACCATAATTTTGCTGTCCGTGATTTCATTTTTTTTGTTTATGCAAGCACATTCTTTGCGGAAGGATTTATACATATTATGTTTCCCAGGACCTCTTTCCACCACGTAACTACTTCTTACCCACAGCTCACGCCCCACCAGAAACTAGCGTTAACAACCTAACCTGTGTTCTTCTGCACCTTCCCCACCTTTCCCCATGAGTGCTGGCTTGTCTGCTCCATTTTCTTTCACATATATGCAGGCATCGGTGTGCATGACGGAGAATTTCATTCTGAATTTAGAAACCAAGTTATGTTATTTTTTACACTTGCTTTTCTTACTTGCTTTTCTCATGGAAATCCCCCCATGTAAAGCATCGCTTCTCGAAATGTAACAAGCCAAGGGATCACTGGGGGATCTCAATGAAATGCAGAGTCTGATTTCCAGACGAGATGCTGCCTGTTGGAGATGCTCCCGGGAGGAGGCCCAGGTGGTTGCTCTGCAGACAATACTGGGAGTAGCAAAGGCACGGAGCTCTGTCTTGTCCTTTCAAACGGTGCACCCTACTCCGTTCCTCAGCTGCTTTAACGGGTCTCCTGTTAGAGCCTTTCATTGTATTGTCAGAATGTTACTGCCACACGGTTAGAGTGGCCTGTCCTCATTTCCACATGCTTTTCGGGTCATCTGTTTCCTACTTCTAAATAGCCTGGGGCTCAGTGGGCTTGGGACGGTGCCAGGAGCTTGTCCTGCGTCCACTGCCTGCCCATCAAACACCCCACACAAATGCCATTTCTCAGGCCTCTAAGACGGCAGAGGTAGGAAGTGTTTCGGCAGGTGTCTGAGGACCGCCACCAGCTGTCTTGGTTGACTCAGCCTCACCTCTGGGGGCACCTCCGGGGCAGCTTGAAGAAACTGTTTGGGAGTGAATGTGGGCTAGGTCTATTAGACATGAATTTCCATCATTCACAACTGCCACACATCACAGATTTTGAAGAAGTCAGAGTTAGTACCTACGGAAACAACTTCTTTCAAGTTTTAACAGAACAGGGCATTGATAAGCTTACAAAGCCCTGGAATAAAAATTCTGTTTTTTTTTAATGCATTTTTCTGACATATTAAGTTCTTATTTATATGCAGTCATTTCTAATGCAAGGATGTCCATTTTATTATTTCCTGCCTAGGTATAATTTTCTCTGGCTGAATTCTTTGAATGTTTAATCATAAAGAATTGTCCTTCTGAAAACATGTCATGTGGAAATACAATTACGGACTTGGTATTTCAAGTGCTCCGTGTTAATGCTACTTTTGTTCTGTCCGTAGTAATTGGAACAATCGACCTGTACAATCACTGACGGCTACTGTTCTTGTTTAACAGGTTCAGAATATGTCCCAGTCTATTGAAGTCTTAAACTTGAGAACTCAGAGAGATTTCCAGTATGTCCTAAAAATGGAAACTCAAATGAAAGGGTTGAAGGCCAAGTTTCGGCAGATTGAAGACGATCGGAAGACGCTAATGACCAAGCATTTTCAGGTAGGTTTGACTTCTGCCACCTTGTCAATCCAAACGAGACAGGGAGCGTGATGGACAGCCAGCATGGCAGGCAGCTAGAAATAACTGTGCACTGGCCCATGTGCGCAGGGGAAAGATGCCCCGGGGACGTCAATCACCTGCCCACTGAAACTGACCATTAGCTGGTAGGCAAGCAACGAGGACTTGCTATAAAAAGGAGTTTCATCCTCCACGAGCAAGGGGGAGTCTCTGGATAGATTTGCACTTCGGTATTGATGGCAAGGAGAAATCTAAGGGAAAGTTAATAATTAAATCTATCAGAGGGGTTTTTTTTCCCAATGACTTTACGGTCTGCTAATATGAGAAATATTGAGAATATAAATAATTAAAGGAGGCAATACTACCATTATTAATAGGCATAAGAAGAGGGTTGCTTCATGATTTGACACCAAAAAAGTCTTTTTTAAAGACTTTAAGTGGTTTGTTGGCAATTACTGAGAAACACTGAAAATGGAGAAATGGTGCTTTTAATCATGCTGTGTGGAGTTTTATTAAGTAATGTTAGTGTCATAGATTAAGACGAAATCCGACTATGATAATACCATCTAAACCTCTATAAAAAAGAAAGAGTCCACTGTGCAAAAAGACAGCACATCGCTTACAAAGCACATTCTACTTTCATAAACGTAATGGCCACAGCTTTCCCTGCCCGTGAGGAAGTGAGACCCACTGCTGAAGGTCAGGGAGCAGGTCTGGACTCAAGTTCTCAGTCAGGTTCACACACAGCCTTGGTGGCAGAATGCTAGCCAGGGACGGGCACAGGATCTCTGCAGGGCACGTTTCACGGAGGCAGAGAGTCTGTGGCTTTGTCACATTCTTCCGTGGTGCTCAAGGGCCTGAGTAGAAAATGACAGAAAACGGCTCACATGGAACCACTTCCAAATTTTCACCTGAAAGGACAAGAGGCCTGAAGTAATGAATGGTGAGGTTTAATCTGAAGAAAGATGGATGCACGGCCGAGAGGTTAAGAAATTAGAACAAATTAAAGCAAAGTGTGGAAGGTACAGTACATTCAAAGACTACTGGAAATCAGAGAAGAATAGAGAATGCACAGGAGGATGGTAAACAGGAAGGATGTAAGGCTGAGAAACAAATGAATTCATTTTCGCTGGTATTTACTGAGCACGTACTGTGTGCAAGGCAGGGTGAGCCCTCTACTGGAGATATAATAAACTGCTAACAGGCAGGTAAAACAGAGTGAAGAGGTGTAAACATTATTTAACAGCACAAAGGGAAGAGGAATTTTGTTTCATTTTGTTTACAGAGCAGAAGAGTTAGAAGGTTTGGCAATATTCAAGAACACCGTTTTGGACTGATGCCCTTCCCCCCCAGTAGAAGTGTTTTAAACCCCAGAGATCTGAGATCAAGAAAGCCAGAAAGTTTTCCGTGTCAATGTTCTGTGTTCAGGATGGGAGTGTGACCTGTGGGCAGCAATGGGGGCCTGGCCGGGGCCACCAGCAGGACCGAAGGTGGGCAGCCCATCACACAGCTCCCCCAGGAAGGAAGACAGAAGGGGAGGTGCTCGGGGTGTTGGGCACAGAGACAGCATCCGAGCTCAATGCAGAGCTCTGTGACGCCAAGGGACAGCTTGAGGTGGCCAGGGACACAGGATGGGTGACACAGGTGCATCTGTGGGAACTTCTGGGAGAGGACAAGAAAGCAGAAACAAAAAGATACAAAGCTGAGAGGCACACAAGGAAATAATTGGCCTGTTCCATAAGTTTGCCCGGCAATGGGCAGGCAACCAATAAAAAAATTTAATTTTCAGGCAGCACGTGACATAATGATTTTTTATTTTTCCATTTTTGACATAATGAGTTTTATCGTTCCAATCACAAAATGATTTTTGTGTAATCCAAGCAGAGAGAGAAACTGTGTGTCAAAGTCCAAATAGTAATAGTGATGATAACATTGTGTCTGTGAAGAATTACAATCACTCAGCACAGAGTAATACATTTAATACATTATATGTTAACTAATGTGACCCTCACCACTGTCCCAGAGGCTGGGCTCTGCCTTTGTCCCCATCACACAGATGAAGAGAATGACATTCAGGGAAGCTGAGCAATCTGTCCGGGGTCACACATTTCAGGTGTGTCGGGACCCCCAAGCAGAGCTCCTGGGTCACACCTTCTGCAGTCAGTGAAAGCCCCTCTCCGAGTAGACCGTAGGTCTGAATACTACTGCAGAATAATCAGATGGTCAATATATGTTTTCTGAGTTTATTTCCTCACTGAATCCTCCGACCATGAGTCAGATTTTGCTCTAAGGCAGGGGAGTCAAACTCATTTTCACCAGGGCCGAATGTAGAGCTCCTTGCATCTATTCCAGTAGTTACAGTTACACAGACCTAAAATCATATTCGGCCCTTTGAAGCAACTGTGGGGCTGATGTGGCTCCCAGTGAAAACGAGTTTGACATCCCTGCTCTACGGGCTGGGATGGTGTCTTTGAGAAGAAATGGACCACCCTAAATGGAAACATGGAAAAATCCTTTTAATGGGAAGGAAGTCCTCCTCTGGCATGCCATTGTCAACTTATAAAAAAAGGTGGATGCATGAAGCAAAAAAAAAAAAAAAAAGCATGGAAAACGTACAGATACAGACAATAGTCCAAAGATTACTGGGGAACGGGGGGGGGGGGTAGTGCAAGGCAGAAGAGGGTGAAGGGGGACAAATGGTGATGGAAGGAGACTTGACTTGGGGTGGTGAGCACACAAGTCAATATACAGGTGAGATGTTATAGACTTGTCCACCTGACCTACATAACTTTATTAACCAGTATCACCCCAATAAATTCAATTTCGAAGACACTAAGTAGGCTCATTCTGCTGTACTCTTTAAGATGGTAAGTCCGTTCTAGTTACCACATGGGAGACCATCATTCTTACAGGAAGAGATCGTGGTTGAACAAGGCAGCCAGTGCAAACTCTGCTACACGAGCAGCACATTAGAAAGCAGAATTCTAGAAGGAATTAGGAAACACGGAGCCGTGCTATTCGATTTTAACCTTTTTAAATACCTGATAGGCACCTTGGCTGCACCTTCCACTGCTCTCTGACAAGTGTCCAGAGTTTCAAAACTGACTGCCAATAATCAAATTATGAATTTTTGAAAAGGTCCAAAAATATAAATAACCTCTTTTTTTTTCAGTTCAGGAGGAAAAAAAAAACTGCCACTAAAATTGCGATACTGTATTGCTCTCTTTTCAATATTCTCATAGTACACCCTAAACTCTTCACTGAAACAGTTGTTATGTGCCATGTACGGCCGATGGTACCCACAGAGCTAACCCTCCCCCTTGAACCCCTAATGAAGCAACTATGCCTTCCGTTCAGGATGTCACCAGGTGCTCACAGCAATAAGGTTATTTCAGGTGAGCCACCAACATGAGCAAAGCCCCGCAATTCTGCCCTTTGGCTGTAATATTTATGAATCTTTCTCAGTAACTCAGACTCTGTCTCCTCCCACTCAACATGCCCAGACAGGCAAATCCGAAGAATTCCCAGCTTACAGAGTGTACAGCAAGTAGAAATGGTCTCACCAGAAACAAGAGCCCATCGTTGGGTCAGCAGCGTGAGCTGCTACTATCTTGATGCACTTACAGCCATAGCATCTACTCAGTATCACCATAAAAGGCAGTTTCCAGCCCCTTAATTTGGCTGGTGTGCAGCATGGTTTCCCACAGCACCTACGGGTTATTCCCCAGTGGTCACACTGGTGACCGCTCTTTCCACTGATGAGATCATCTGCAGTGAACTCACAACTGAATCCAGTGCAGGAAATGCTTTCCCCCGCCCCCACCAGCAAGTTCAAGGAAGAGATGAGGAGGTGGCACGTCTAGAAAATGAGCGTGGAGCTGCAGGTGTGGCTCGGTCCCACGTGTGGCTCTGCCCTGTGATGCTGGGAGGGAGGGTCAGGGTCTCAGCAACACGCACATCTTCCCCTCTAGACCAGAACCAACATACTAGTTTCTAATAACTATGCAGCCGGCCACCTGTCTTTGTTCTATAACCCCAGGAGCACCTCGGTCCCTGAAAGGGTCAATGCACCACGCGGGTAAGCCAGCTGCCTCACCTACATAAAGAGGTCTCACACGCGGTCTCCGCTGAGGCAAATGAAGTTAAAGCGCGGGTGATAGTTCAAAATGGCAAACAGCAGCATACATTTCTTCGTGCGCAGGATTGATCACGCTTGGTGAACTTAACCTTTCTGAGGACACGCTGCTAAGATGGGTTCTAAAGAGAGGGAGGGGGGCCTGGGTGAAATGGGGGGGGGCAGGGTGGAGAAAGGCCACCAATGGAAAGTTCCACTAGGGAAAAGCTGTTTTCCCAAATTTCCTCGGAGTCCCCCTACACAATGAATAATCAGTAAATGAATAATTAGATATAACTGAACCGGCACAGGACATCGGGTCTATTTCTAATAATTCATACTTAGAAGGTGGACCCGCCGTGCACGCTCTAACTAAACCATGCATCGTGGGCTTCCTGAAATGCTGCCAGAAAGTGAGATGGTACCTACATGCTTAATCGCTACCATAGGAAGCTTCCGTAATTATGGGAAAGATGGATTTGTGCTCTAGAAAACCCTGTAACCATTTAAGGAGAGGTTCTTCTATTGAAAAGATAAGTGGACTTACTACTAATGACCATGCAGCCACTTCCCATTTTCACAAAACACCTCATTCCAACCTCCCCCCAAAATCAATAAGGCGTTTTGAGTCCATTTCAATCACCCCCTCTTGGTATCAGACTAGACGCACAGCCGCTGAAACGGCTCTTGGAAACACTGCACTGCTTTCCACAGGAGCTGAAGGAAAAGATGGACGAGCTGCTGCCCTTGATCCCGGTCCTGGAGCAGTACAAAACCGACGCCAGGCTCATCACCCAGTTCAAGGAGGAGATCCGGAACCTGTCCACCGTCCTCACGGGCATCCAGGAGGAGATCGGGGCCTACGACTACGAGGAGCTGCACCAGCGCGTGCTCAGCCTGGAGACCAGGCTCCGCGACTGCATGAAGAAGCTGAGTGAGTAGCGCCGCCGAGCTCAGTCTCAGTTGGGTTTTCCGTGGTGTCCGTGAACACGGCTTTCGTGCAAACGGTCAGAAACGCCTGGTTAGAGGGCACCCAGGGCCTGCTTTCGAAGTGTAAGGTTAGTGGTTCTTAATGGCTTCGGCGCACCTGGGAACCCAGTGGTCTTTGATGAACAGCTTCCCTGATTTGCAGATCTCCCTGTTGTGTTTGAAATAAGTAGTCTGGTAAATACAGCCCATTCTATCAGCTACACCAATGGAAATCGGTTTTAATACAGACAGACAGGGTGTGATGACCAATCGCTGCTTGGCCAGGGGAGAGGGGAGGCATTTCTGGTTGTGGGGAAAGTTGGAGGATGTAGGGAAGGAAGCTGGGGGCCACGTAAAACAGCAATGACTAAAGCCAACCCGAACCACCCCATACCCTGCAGAGCTGCCCACAGAGGCTGTGGCTGATGTCAGAAGTCACAAGGAGAGACAGACAGATACTATTCTGTAGGGGGCCCAGTACTGGGGGGACCTGGGTCTTGGACTGCAGTTCTTGACCCAACCTGGACGGAGTTCACAAACTCTTCATTGTGTCCATGGGCTAATTTTTCAATTGAAGGCATCACGGGACTGATCTGTAACTTCCTGCAGAGTAATAAGTGGTAAGGAAGTGAATAAACGAGGGTCATAAGCACACTTAGGAACAGTATTTTAGTTGTTGACATGTGACATGGCGGTGGGGGAAGGGGGGCAGGGTGCAGCTTTATGACCACAGAAAAATGTTTTCTCAAGGTAAAGAAAATGTTCTGGAATAGGAAATAAATGTGGAAGAGGAGTAAAAAATTTAAGGAGAACAATTACCAGTACAAAATTTCAAAGGGTAAAATATGTTTTAAAATAAAATTTGAACGGGTTCCACGAACATGTGAAAGACCCATCAATTCACTCTGCCATTCCTAGCATCTCCCAATCAACCTGAGAAATAGGCTTGCACAGCGAGACCAGGCTGGTACTGCTCACTTGTTCTTCCCTCAAGGGCTGTCAAGTACAATCAGACTGCATCAAAGCAAGGACAGACGCCAGAAAGATTGTACCTAGTCAACACTGTGAGCCCGACCTAATGTGTCCGTGATGTTTTTGAGGGATTAACAAGGGAAACTCTTGGAATTTGCTCAATTTTAGACATGAACTTCACTTCTAACATTGCCAAAAGTAGGTCTACAGTGGTTTGCACAAAAAAATAATACCGTGATTAACCAATGATGGTAATAGAATGAACTGTGTGCTTTGCGCAGTCACGACTGGAAACCTACTTTGACCCCCACCCTGTGCTCGCTCTGAGTTCACGTGGCTGGACGTACTGTCTGCTGCAGCCGGAAATTCTAACTTTTCCCCGGTGCTTCCTCTAATCTGCATTCAACTCCCCACACTCCATTCTCCTCCAACAGTGACAGTGATATTTGGGGCAAAGAGGGTTAATCTAAGTAAACACAAATCCATCCTACTTCCTCCTACTAGACGAGAAAAAATGTTTCTGTGGTGCTCTTAGGCCTTAGGGTTGTGACCTACAATATATATCTTTTTATTAATTCTCCCCCATAGGCCAGTAAGTTTGAAAGAATGTGACTGTCGAAGAAACTGCATTCGTTAGTTAATATTTGTTTTTATTTTAACTCATCAAAAATATCCAGCAACCAATATAGATACTAAACCGCAGTAAAACTAGTATCTAACTTTCTTATTTGATGACATGGCCGCTATTTGAGTTAGCTAATCTGACCTTGCAAAATACTGAAAATAGTAGTCACACGCCATAAACTCGTGTGAGGTCATTAGCAGCCCGCAGATCCCTGCCCACTCAGCAGAGAGGCTGGCACCACAGGGCTTCTAATGCTTTTGTGCTTTCTGTCCCGGGGACTGACTGATTCCCACCATCACGCCGAGTCTGCATCAGTTAATCCAGACCGTTACCGAGAGAGAGTCTCCTGAGCAGAGAGACTGTTCATCAACTGAACCACTGACCTTAATGACAATGTAGACCACGTGCCCAGATAAAGACAAACAGCCCTCATAACAGGAAACACAAAGCCACATGATCCCTGAAAAAGATAAATAAATGAATCTTCCTATTTTCCCTTAAAAAAGATTGACTCCATTATGAAAGGAGGCATCTAATAAGATATATATAATGTGTATTATATATATATATATATATTTGCAAAAGAAAACACAAGCACATAATTTTAAGTGTCATACCAAGTTATAGTTTTATTAACACTTTACTCCTTGGAAATTGGTACAGATTAAACCAAATCATCTCTGTGAACCCTTTTAACTCCATGCCTAGTATTATCTCATTGGTTAGTGCCCAAATATCAAAATATCAGAACACACGAACTCAGAAAATCCATGCTAATCCACATCAGGACCATTTACAGGAAATGCAGGAAAATGAAAAAACGTATCAGAGGGTCAGGGTTCCAAAGGGTCTATGCCCAGGTGTCCTGCTGCTCAGTTCTTGAGTAGGACTTGGGACAATCATGGTGTTGGCAATGCAGTCACAGAAGCAAGACTCATTCATCAAAGGCGCCTCTTCCTTCTCCACAAAAACCGCCCAGCACAGTGGGAATGGATTGGGAGAGAAAGCAAAACTGCACCTGTGACGAATGCATTTCTCCTCACCTTATCAGTGGGTTGGCCTTTTGGGAAAATGTCACAGTGCACATCCTGTGAATTTTAAGGTCACTAAAAAGCAAACGAGACTTATCGTGTGCAAGGTCACAGTTCCTTCCACGCCAGATGAATCACAAGCAACTGAGACAATGAGAGCACCAGTGGGCTCATTACTGCTGGAGAATTCAAGTTTGGGTGAAAATAGAAGTTAAGAAAAAAATGCTTCAGCAGCAATGCACCCTAGTGACCTGAGTGAGGGACAGTAATGCTCTTTCCTAAATGCTTAGTCTTCTACTACGAGACACTGAATAAAACAAAGTCCCCTGTGCTTAATTAAATCCTACCACATTCCCTGACAAGCAAAAGGTAATCATATGCATGTGAGAATTTAACTGGAAACACAGTGAAAGGTCCCGCGCCCCCCTGGGGCCACCAATAAGCATTTAGTGTAGACTACAGTAGGCCTTCCAGTTCCCAGCCTGCATGCACCCTCTGCCTCACCGTAGCTCTGTCTGGCGACCAAGGTTTGGTGCTATCCAGTGAAACGCAAGGCACACCTTTGCATGCACACTGCAGCTTCGAGGCTTCACGTCCAATAGGAGTGACAGTAACATTCAAAACTCGAGGTCCCAAGTAATGAGACTTGGGTTCTTACCTGTACCACGTTCATGCCGCATTGGTTTTAAAGGGGAACGCGACGTCAATGTGGTCATCGTCATATCTGCACATTCAACACATATGTAAGGAGTCCCCACTGCGTGCAGGCACTCTGCCAGGTGTCCGGGCTGCAAAAGTGAGCAGCAGCCTGGGTCCCTGCAAGGTCACAGAGCTTGGCTTTGGTGGGGACAGCAAGCACGAGAAAGACAAGCAGCATTCACAGCGCTTCCATGTGCAGTCACTCCGATCACCGCGAGAACTCTGGGTTAGGTCTTATCCTTGGCCATCTTTTGAAAACAGACTGCTCAGTTGGAACTCCTTTGTGGAGGCACGTGTTGGAGGGAGCAACTTCAAACCCAAGTCCTCCTCCGTTCAAAGACCGAGATGGTTCCCCACACAGCTGTCTTTTGTTGGGTGCGTGCAATAACAGAGCAACTCCCCAGATGCCCCAGTTGACTTTGACTCAGGACGCAGAACCCAAGGGCTGTAGCAAGAAGCCTGAGAGTCTGTTTTGACTCTTCTCTGAACGGCGCTCACTTGCAGGCACCCCATTATCCCACCCCCAACCCCCAGCAATCTCCCAAACCTCCTTTCCAGGCACCCTCACCTCTGCCACCTGAATCCCAGCCTATTCTGCTGCCCCTCAGTCACAGCAGCCCCGCCCCCACTGCCCTCATCTGAAGTCCTTTCCTCTCCACCACATTGGACACTACAGTCATCTCTGCAAATGCAGATCTACTGAGACCACACCTGCGTTCAAGCAATTTTCCTTTGAAATGAAATCCAAATAAGTTTGCATGGCTTGTCCCAATTCTTTTCATTATTTTATTGTTGTTCAATTATAGTTGTCTGAATTTTCCCACCACTCCGCCTGACCCCAGCCAAACCCACCTCCCTCCCTTGCGTCCACCCTCCCCCTTGGTTTTGTCTATGTGTCCTTTATAGTAGTTCCTAAAAACCCTTCCCCCCTCCCCTCTGTTGTTAGATTGTTCTTCATTTCAATGTCTCTGGTTATATTTTGTTTACTTTTTTCTTTTGTTAATTATGTTCCAGTTAAAAGTGAGATCATATGGTATTTGTCCCTCACCACCTGGCTCATTTCACTTAGCATAATGTCTCCAGTTCCATCCACGCTGTCACAAAGGGTAGAAGCTCCTTCTTTCTTTCTGCTGCATAGTATTCCTTTGTGTAAATGTACCACAGTTTTTTTCATCCACTCATTTACTGATGGGCACTTAGGTTGCTTCCAGCACTTGGCTATTGTAAATAGCGCTGCTATGAACATTGGGATGCACAGGTTCTTTTGGATTGGTGTTTCAGGGTTGATGACACGGATTCTGCCTAATTCTGCAGGGCTTCTCCTTCAAGTTCCCACCATGCACTTGCTCTGAACTGGAGCAATTCTGTTCTTTCAGTTCCTCAACGGTGTGTCTACTTTCACCACCTCCCGGACACACAACTCCCTCTCCCCCTGCAGCCTGAGCCTTTTCTCCCCCGTTCCTCCCACCCACCCACCCAAATTCTAACAGGTCTTCTTGCCACACACCAGACGCCCATGTTCCCACAGGCCTTCCCCGGTGGCTCTTGAGTGTGGTCAGACATTGCTCACGTGGTTTCCGGAAAACTGAAAATGACAATGTGCTTCTTTTTTTAAATCTTTACCCCCTTATGGCCTAG